ATCTAAATCATACCGTCCTACCAAGACCTCAAACAACAAAATAATCTATGAACAGAGGGCATTTTACTTCATTATAATAGGAGAGTCATCAATTAGGATGTAAATTAACAAACCAACCCAGCCAGTTATCAATCCTGTTCATTGTCAGACATGTGCATTAGATATTTATCTAATGAATTGCAAATAAAGCCACTCTCCTTTATTGCATTAGGAAGAATAAGACTAATCGCTTATTTCCATAGAGATATTTTCCTGTTTTACATTGATCTTCCCTAAAGTAGAGATTGCACATTGTCTTATCAGCACAATTTTTACAATTCCTGACTGAATTCCATGCATTGCTATGCCATAATTCCCCCACCCCCCCCCAAGCATCACTTTAATTGCACTTCATTCTTCTTTCAAAAGGCCTAGTGTCAGTATTGACTTCAGGCTTAAGTGAAGTATGCTCATGCCCTCGTCAAAAAGCGTTGACCTAAGCAGTTGTAGATCTGAATCATTCTGGTGTAATTGACTTGATTGCTCAAGAGGTATCTCATCAAGGTGCCTCTTGCGTCTCATGGGCATGTAATTATGGATATTCATGAGAGCCTGCGAATAGAAGCTGATAAGTCTTGACAAATATGTGCTGCTGGTAGAGTTATTGCTATGTATTGATAACTTGTCATTGATCCATGTTTAGTTGCCTAAAACTGTTGTCATCATATTCTCCCTAAAAGTGGACCAAGACTTAACCATTTCAGACATACTTCCTTTATCAGTCTGTTCATTTTAATTACTTGCTGAATAATCCTGTTCAGTTGAGTGACAACTAAAAAGATACTCCTTTGGTCTTTTTAGCTGTCAGAAAAAGGGAGTGGGGGGAAAACAAGGCATTCCTTAAATGCCTAGATAATCACCCCGGCAGCCCAAAGTTGTCTGAGTGTAAGAAGGTTATTGGACAGCATGACGGAGGACTCTTGGAGATGGAAGTGTCCCATTGGACAAGTAATATCCAGGGGGTGGGGGGGAAGACCAGGGTCAAGGGGGAATTGTATGATGTAATTTAGTATCAGCTGCACCCAGCTAACACCAACATGGCCACTTCTAATTAATCAATTTTCCTTTCTCTGAGATGCGCCTAAAAAACTTTTGATTTGAATGGGGGTGGATTTGTTGGAGCCCTGACATTGAGTTCCCACTGAAAATGAATGGAAACACACTTTGGAGCCAAGGAAAGACAGATGAAATATAATTCTGCAATGTTGCAGCAGCAATCATATTTGCATCGAACATTGTTAATATTTTAAAACCATAGCATCCGTATCCTGAGCATTTTGGATATTTTCTTACTTTCTGCTATTAGTGTCACTTAAATGCTGTTAGGTTCTTGGAGAGGGCTTCATGCTTGGTCTAGCTGTCTCTAAGCAAAAATAATATTCTCTACTTGCACATCTAAAACAGACGGGCTTCGGAATACAGAACGTAGACTGCACTCTACGATCTGTGCTCCTGTGGTAGCTGTTGTCGCTGACACATACCAGGTGCCACAAGGCTGTGAGCAGTAAAACTCCCTCTCTGAAAAGCATTTGGTTGATGTATTTGATAACAGACATACTTAAAAGGGAGAAATCATGCTATAGACGGGTGATATGCAGCTTCTTAGTTTCTTACTTGTTACATTTTTTTTAAAATACCAAATATGCCAATAGAAGGCAAACATCATAAAACTGCATTTCACTTATTTTGGTCATGTCATGCAGGTGAATTCACTGGAGAAACCAATTGTGCTTGGAAGATATTAGTGGTAAAAGGAAATCAGGCCATTGAAGAACACAGTGAAGATGAAGATGAAGAACACACCATCAAAGCTGATACCATCCAGAGCATAGAACAACTCAAAGAAGTAGTGCAAGATTGGAAGATGTGGAGAGACCAGGCCCATAGAATCACCAGGAGTCGGATAACAATGAATTTATAACATCACCATCACCATCATTACTGTTTCATAAGAAGAGGACCTGATTTTTTTTAAAAAAGTACTATGGCAGGCATATTGCCTATTCCCTTCCTCCTTCAAATTTGGGGATTGGGCTGAGGGTGTAGAAAGTTTGAACTATTCAAAACCTCTATCCTTCCAGCAGGAATTGTTGCCCAATTCCTCCATGCATTTTCCACTGTGGAAAATTGTCCTTTATTGGTGAGGATGAAGGCTTTTCTAGCCTCTAATATGAATTCTTGCTGCTACCATCATAGGTCTTGGGGATTCCTCTATGTCAGAAAAAATATGTGTCAGATTACCGAATCATCCAAATCCACTAGAAAGCATCACACTGTGTATTTAAATGTACCCTATCAATTCAATTGTGTGGCAATATTGAGATAAAGCTGAGAACAGCATGGGATTCTTGCTCTAAATTCGTTTTGCATCTGATACAAATTTGCAAGAATTAAACTTTTGATCGATGGCTTGCAGTTTCCAGGTTTTACACTCAGCGGGCTGTGAGGGAAGTCAGAGATGTCACATTATCAATTCAAATGCCTTGTCAGCACGGAAATAAACTCAAATTACTACATTTTGAGAGGATATTTTTCATTCTGGGGAACTTTAGAGATGTGACGAAGTTGTTCCACATCTTTTCGTTCAAGAGAAGAAAGGCAAATTGAATAAAATAATTGTGAAGTATTTGCTGCTCTAGAGAAGATTCTGAGAAAAGTGGAAGGAAAGAGAAGGGACAACTAATAGAAAGGTGGATTGATTCAATTCATTCTATTTTTTATTATAGTGAACTCTGGGTGGTGTTGAATGCCAGGTTAAGAAAAGACCAGGTTAAGAAAAGACCATCATGAAAAAATCTACTTATCTGGTTACTAAGAATCAATAATGCCATTATAATGTAAAATGAATCAATGAATGAATTAACATATTAACTAAAACAGAAGAGTACAACAAAACCCATTGTTTTATAACAGGGGTGTCAAACTTGATTTCATTGAGAGCCCCATCAGGGTTGTGTTTGACCTCGGGGGTGCTGTGGGGGCATGGCCAGGGTGGATGCGGCCAGCTTGATGACACTCATGCCAGGGGCACCTGAAGTGCTAAGGCAGGACTTCTCTCAGTCCCTTCCTCACTGTCATTATAATAATCTTCCTTCCTTCCTTCCCTCCCTACCTCCTTCCTTCCTTCCCTCCTTCCTTCCCTCCCTCCCTCCTTCCCTCCCACCCTCCTACCTTCCTTCCCTCCCTCCTTCCTTCCCTCCCTCCCTCCCTCCTTCCTTCCCTCCCTCCCTCTTCCCTTCTTCCTTCCTTCCTTCCCTCCCTCTCTCCTTCCTTCCTTCTTTCCTTCTCTCCCTCTCTCTTCCTTCCTTCCCTCCCTCCCTCCTTCCCTCCCACCCTCCTACCTTCCTTCCATCCCTCCTTCCTTCCTTCCTTCCCTCCTTCCTTCCTTCCTTCCCTCCCTCCTTCCTTCCCTCCTTCCTTCCTTTTCCTTCCCTCCTTCCTTCCTTCCTTCCCTCCCTCCTTCCTTCCCTCCTTCCTTCCTTTTCCTTCCTTCCTTCCTTCCTTCCTTCCTTCCTTCCTTCCTTCCTTCCTTCCTTCCTTCCTTCCTTCCTTCCTTCCTTCCTTTTCTTCTTTGAAAAGGATGGCCTCCTGCAGCCCACTGCCAGCAAAAATGGAGTTCGTGTGTGTGTGTGCATGCAGTCGCCCTGAGTTCCATTTTCACTGGCAATGGGTTGCAGGAGGCCATCACAGCCGAAAATAGGGCCTGGGGGCATGTGCAGCCCCAAGCTCCATTTTCACTGGCAGAGGCATCATGAGGCAGTCCTTTGCTGTTCCCAGGGCAGCCCTGTGGGCCAGATCTGGCCCACAGGCCTTGAGTTTGGCATACCTGTTCTATAACAATACATACATGCAATACTCCACCAGAATTATTGGATTTATCCAAATTATGAAAGGATCAGTTGTAATTGAATGTGCTTGCTAAATTGTTAGCAAGAAAGCTCATTCCAAAGAAACAATTGTTTCAACTCCCACCCTCAAACCGACACTATAGAGCACTGCACACCAGAACAACTAGACACAAGGATATTTTTTCCTGAATGCCATCACTCTGCTAAAGAAATAATTCCCTCAGTACTGTGCAACTATTTACTAAGTCTGCATTACTATTACTATTAATCCTCCCATCCTTCCTTTCACCCATCTCCTCCCACTTATGACTGTATGACTGTAACCTTGTCACTTGTATCCTAACAATTTTTATTGACTGTTTCCTAGTATGATTTGATTGCTTATTGTACCCTATGACTCACTCTCATTAAGTGTTGTACCCGATGATTCTTGACTCATGTATCTTTTCTTTTATGTACACTGAGAGTATTTGCACTAAGACAAATTCCTTGTGTGTCCAATCACACTTGGCCAATAAAGCTCTTCTCTTCTCTTCTCTTCTCTTCTCTTCTCTTCTCTTCTCTTCTCTTCTCTTCTCTTCTCTTCTCTTCTCTTCTCTTCTATTCTATTCTATTCTATCACAATTCAGATTAAAGTTTCAATTGCTAAGCAAGACAGTTGTTAAGTGAGTTGTTAACCTTTCTTGCCACCGTTATTAAGTGAATCACTGTAGCTAAGTTAATCATATGGCTTTTAAGTGAATTTCTTTTCCCCATTGACTTTGCTTGTCAGAAGGTCACAAAAGCTGAACATATGATACCAGGACATTGCAACCATCAAAAATACAAGCCAGCTGCCAAACGTCTGGATTTTGATCACATGACTACGGGGATGCAGCAATGGTCGTAAGTATGAAATATAGTCATTTTTTTTCCAGTGCTGTAAGGTTGCTAAAGGAATGGTTATAAGTTGAGGACCACCTGTATAGAGCAAATTCCTACATTCGTAGATATGAATATAATTGTCTGGTTCTTCATGATGCAATTAGACTTTTTTTCCCCATATTGTTTCAATGTGACGTCATTATCTCTATCCAAATGGTAAAAAAGTGGGATAACAAAATTCTTACTTACATGCAAATTGAAGTGTTGCTTCCCTGCTCAAAATGCTACCATAGACATTGGTGGTAAAACACTGGTATTGCCCAGCATCTTTTAATTCATTGGGATTGTTGATAATAAGGCTTCCTTCTATTACACTGTAGCGGTAATCACTTTCTATGTCTAACTCGGTTCCATTCTGGAGCCACCTTGGAAGGGAAGAAAAGTAAATAGTTTAATAAATTTCAAGAAGAAATAGACAGCTGAAAGGAAAATTTGATGCAATTAATGGGGTCACTTTTATTTGACTTTCAGTTTAGAAATTTGCATAACATTCCTATGCAAAATATTCAGATGCATGGGTATTTTCTAGAGTACATTTTTTTAGAAAACATTTTGTATTTATATTTCCAATACACATTTTCTAATGTATTTTCTCCTGGTGTACCCAACTCTGTCCATATTTCTGAGATGCAAACTGTGTGAAAAGTATGAAAGTTTAGCATGATTACACATTCAACCAGGGGTGGGTTTCTACCGGTTCTGTCCACCTCTGTAGAACCAGTAGCTCTGAAGAGCAGCAGACATAGAACCAGTTCTATGTCTGCTGATGTTTTTGCCTACATGCCCACCCCGGGCTCTTACCTGATCTTTATTTCCTGATTTTTTCAACTTCCGCTGCCATGCGAGGCACAGCTGCAGTTAAAAAAGCAGGAAAAAGCAGGTTTTTTTTGAAAGGCTGCTTCTCTGCACGCAGCATGCTGATGACGATTGGCAGCATGCAGGGAAGCACATCGTAAATCACCGAACCTCGTAAATGACCGAACTGGTAGTTAACCCTGTCGGATCCCACACCTGCATTCAACCATTCTCTTGTACATTCAGTCAGCCTATGTAATTTTATCTTAATTCTGATATTCTTTCTTTGTTTCTTATCCATCTTATATTCAGAAACCACATATAAGTGTTTGTTTCTCTGTTTGGCTATCAGAACTTTGTTGATTAATTAAACTGGGAAAACATCAAAAGAAATTTAATCACTTGTCTCTAGTGCCTTAATTATGTACCATAATTACAATTATTCCTGCCTCTTGAAGCTCCATTTGTTTATTATTTATTTGGCAATCCTATTGACCGATTTCAATCTTCTTTGGGATTCCTTAGCATTCTTTCATTATTGGTAATGCAGATGTTGAAGCAGTGGTACCTGTTTTTTTATTTATTTATTACATTTATATGCCAACTTGTACTCTTTGTGTACAATGCCTGAAAAGTGTCAGGCTACTTAGGTGAATAATAGGAAGGTGTTGTGGTTGCAATCATGTAAATTCGGAAAGACATCTTCTAAATCAGTGATGGCAAACCTTGAGTGTCCAAAGTGTGCACATACCTAAAATGCAAGGCATGCCTCCACACATGTGTGTCCTTGCATGCATGCCCCCACACGTGTGTGCACCCCCACATGCAATGCACCTCACACATGTGTGCACCCCCTGAATGCATGCAATGCATGTACACCCCCTACATGCACAGTAGAGACCTAAAGGCCAGCTGGCCGGCAGAAGGTGCACACGCATACACGGTGGAGCTGAGCTGGGGTGATGGCATGCATGCCCACAAAGAGGGCTCTGTGTGCTACCTGTGGCACATGTGCCATAGGTTCACCACCACTTCCATTTCTGAAGTGTATTGTCAGGAGTGAAAGACCAGCTCCATGTGTGATTTATTAAACATGCTGATTTATTGCTAAAAATCTATGCCTCGGAATCTTCTCAACTAATGGTTGGCACATGCTTGGAGTTAGATGAGGATCAATGGCACTCAAGGGGGAAGGTGTTGAACAGACTTCTCTTGTGGCTACGTAGGGATTCTAAGCTAATTCCCCCTTTTCACACCACTCCCAGATTCTTTCTTCTATATTTGCACATCCCTAGAATTTGACATTTTAAGTCTTCCACAAGTTTACAGCACTAATTTTATTCCTTGGATCCTGGCATTGCCTGTTTTTGAAGGCCAGCTCTCACCATACCATGCCAAACTTGATATAGCTCTTGCAATTACAGAAATTGTAATTGCCAAATGCAGAATGTTAATAGGTAAAATTATTGAGAATGCTCAAGGGTTACTCTAGGAATAAACTAGGAAGGTAAATGACAGCTGCTGAATCTTTTTTTAAACATCCACATATTGATCACACTTTGCATACAATGCTTTTAGCATAAGGTAGATGTTCAATAATCTATAATGTAAATTATATCCTGAAAAGTAATATTCATAAAAGTCTACATAGAAGACCAACTCAACATAAGCCAAGCCAGGTACATAGTGGAAATCTTGACCAGATATCCAAAAATTGTAGGAATTGATAGAAATGAAAACAAGCCAAAATTGAATCCTAGCAAGCCCTCGTTGTTGGAAAGTCCAGAAAGGACTTGATTTTTCTGCTCCAGTGGTGAGTTTGGGTGGGACAGCAATCTCCTTAAAGGAGCAGGACTGCAACCTCAGGTTAGCCTCGTGCCTAATTTGAGTCCATGGGTAGTGTCTATGAGTAATGTAATGAATAATGGGTAATGAGTCTACGGGTAATGTCTATTAGCCTCTTGTCTACTTTGAGTCTACAGGTAATAGAGGTTTTTCCTCAGCTTTACCTGGTACACCAATCATAGCCTTACTCTAGCACCAGTAACCTGCAACCCTATCAACTCTTGTGCAAATGGTTGCAATGTTCTTTACACAGAATCACTGTTGTTATTATTTTGTACAAAATACAACAGCCCACTTAATGGTGGATGAGAACTGCTTTTTGCACCTAAAACTTGTGCAAAAAAATACCCCTGCACGTAAAAGGTGTAGCTTTTAACTATATGCTTGAAAATTGAAAATGTGGTATATTTGACTAAAAAACTCTATATGGTTGGAGACCCAGATACCTGGAATTCCATCTATGTTAGGGAGAACTGCCAGTCCAGTATGTACATCATTTGATTAGGTACTGTACAGGATAGGCTAAAAGAGGGTTGGCAACATAAATGTTTAAATGAATAAATAAAAATAATAATAATCATATGTAGGTTTACTGACAGTTCCCCTGCTATGTTAGCTTCAGGGAAGAATTGGAAATAAGTTCCTTTTTAGTTATAGCACTACACTCTGGAATACTTTTCTGTAAGAAACTTGTATCACTTCTTCTCTCTACATGAGATTTAAGAAATTCTGAAAAACAGACTTGTGTGGAAGAATTTTTAAAGGTTAAAATAATAATTCAGGAATTTTTAATAATATAATTTAAATTTGCTAATTAAAATTTCATTTTATTGAATGCTTTCATTGTGTCACTGTCTCTTGTAAACTGTCAGGAGTCCTAAAGGAGTAAGGCAATATAGAAACAAAACAAATGTCAAAATTTGAACAGCAGATCTATGAATTGATTACCCTGCAAATTATTTATCTGAGATATAATGCTCCAGATTTTTTTTAAAAAAAGATTCCATCTTCCCCAACAAATGATGAAGGTGAATTATTAACCTGCACTTAAAAATATATATAAAATGCACTTGACTTTACATAGACGGTTCTTAATTCAAGTCTTTCTAGCAGACAAATAAATGAAATGAAAAAAAAATCTATAGCAAATTTGGAATTTTCATTATCAAACTGGACATAATAAATAGTGGAAGCAGGATGAAAGGACCCATTAAGCATGTTAGGTTTGGAGCAAAAAAACCTAACAAGAATAAGAACTGATCCAATTTTCAAAGTCTGAACCAACACTCAAACTGGAGTAACATTCTTAAAAATGCAGACAAAAATTAGCACCATTGGGGAAAGTCTGCACAAAAATGTACATTAGGGAAGACAATGCTTTGTGTAAGGATACATATATCGACAATTGCTCCAGTTTGCCAAATGCATACGTTTAGAAAAAAGACAGGTACATAAATGAATAGATTAAGATATTTATAACTGAATCTTTTAAAATAACAATGGAATAGATTTTAGCTAAAAAACAGAATACAGGTAATCCTCGACTTGTGACCACAACTGAGCCCAAAATTTCCATGGTTAAGCTGGACAGTTGTTAAGTGAGCTTTGCCCCATTTTATGACCTTTCTTGCCACAACTGTTGAGTGAATCACTGCAGTGGTTATGTTAGCAACGCAGTTGTAAAGTGAATTTGGCTTCCCCCATGAACGTCGCTGGTCAGAAAGTCGCAAAAGGTGATCACATCACCCTGGGATACCGCAACATCATAAACACAAGACAGTTGCCACACGTCTGAATTTTGATTGCATGATGCTTCAATGGGATGCTTCAATGGCCGTAAGTGTGAAAAATGGTCATAGGTTAATTTTTTTTCAGGGCCGTTGTAACTTTGAATGGCCACTAAACGAAAGGTTGTAAGTCGAGGACTACTGTACATTGACTTGGAATCAAAATAGGCAGCTCAGCTCCATTGCTAAAACATGTTTGCTACCTGTACGTTGGGGCAGGATTTCCTCTGGCTTGACAATTGAGAGACACTTTCTTCTCCTCTGAGTCCATGGGAAAGATCACATGGTCAGGTTCTTGAATAAACATCGGCCCATAATCGACACCCTCTATGAAGACAAAAAGGAACATTTCCTTCAGAGGTTACTAGTGAAAGCTCCTCCTCAGAGCTGTGAGTTGTGAATCTTGTTCAGTATAAATTTTTGAAGTTTTAGTGATCCACTTTAGAAAAAAGTCATTCTCTTCTCAATCTTCCAATGATATAAATGTACATGTATCTAGAGTTCTCAAATACTCAGAAGGTCCTTTAGGTCAGGTTTTATCAGTATGCTACGTATACCTGCCAAGATGTAGTATGGCTCTAGTAGCACCACACACATACCCAGAGATACACTTTGTAGCCTTACCATTTGAGTCATTGCTCAAAGGTGGTATTCAGCAGGTTCTGACCAGTTCTGGAGAACCGGTAGCAGAAATTTTGAGTAGTTCGGAGAACCGGCAAATACCACCTCAGACTGGCCCCGCCCCTATCTATTCTCTGCCTCTTGAGTCCCAGCTGATTGGCTGGATCTTCTTGTGTTGCCCTGCACAGGAGAACGGAGCTGGAAAGCAGGTTAGTGGGGTGGGGAGAGAATGGGATTTTGCCGTAACCTTCCCCCAGGAGTGGGGTGGGAATGGAGATTTTACAGTATCCTTCCCCTGACATGCCCACCAAGCCATGCCCACAAGAAGTGGTAGTAAAAATTTTTGAATCCCACCACTGTCGTTGTTGTAATATGCCACCCAGAGTAACCTATATTTGAACTGAATGGCTACATACTTAGACTTTGACTAAGAATAACTTTATTGTCACTTTGAATGTACACTAAATTGAAATTTCATTGCATACAGCTCTCAAAGGGTCACCACCTCCAATATACACTACATAAACATGGCTAAATAAATAAATACAAAATTATGCATATACCCACATATATTATATGTCACAGAGAAAGAACACAGTCTAATTTGGATGTATACATGTACATGGCAAGAAAAATGAAGCTTGTGAGTTTACCAGATGGATGGCATAGGGAACAAAGCTGTTACGGAGTCTGGAAGTCCTGCTAGAAATATTTGAAAACCTCCTCCCAGAGGGGAGTCACAGAAACAGAGCATAAAGTGAGATTGTGGGGTCTCTAACAATGCTTTGAACTCTAAGCACATAGCACTTATAAGCTTATATAAATTTAATTATAAACGGGGAACCTATTTCCATATGTGGTGGACATGCCCTCAAGCTAAAAATTATTGGTTTAAAATTAGGAAATGGCTGGAGGAAATTACAAAACAGAAAATTGAATTGAGACCAGAGACATTCCTATTGGGTAATACTTTTATTAAGAGATAAAATTAGTAAGAAACTCCAATATATTATTTTATATATAATAACTGCAGCAAGAATAGCCTTTACCTAGAATTGGAAAAGTGACAGCATTCCCTCTGATATTATGATAAAAAAGTTTTTAAAGTGTTCAGAAGGGGATAGACTTTCAATAGAAATGAAAGAGAGAGAAAAGACAGAGTACTATGAAATTTGGAATTTATGGTATAATTGGCCGCAAGGTAGACACAAAATAGGGAGTTGAAATGAAAGGTTATGGTGTGATGAAATAATTTGGTATGAATAGGCATAACTATGTATAAATATGTAAATAACCATGTAAATATATGAAAATATGACATAAATCAAATGTAAAATAATTGTAATACTATTTAGTAATATTCTATATACTTAAGAATATGTCAAAGTGAGTGAACACTACTACATATGCTGCAATGAATGGAAATATGTTTTTAAATTGTTTTTTAATTTTTTAATTTGTTTAATAAAGTTTGTTAAATATTAAAACATAAGCTTATATAAATTTATTCAATAAATAAAATAAATAAATGGAAGCTTCTGGCAATCTAAATTTAAGATGGTGCCTCAACTCAGAACGCCAAGTCATTCAATCTTGATGCCTCAAACTGAAGTGGAAAAGCAGGCACTTCAACATGATCGAAAGGCACATGAACAGAAGTTATTTTGAGCATTGAAACTGATCTTGAGTAGCCAATCCCATCCAAAATTTGAAATAAAAGTACCTGTTTGATTGCCTTCAAAAAGCTACTTCCAACAAAACGTCATGGAACGGATTTTATTAATTTCAAAGGTCAGTGTGGGAAAATTTACAGGATTCATTTCAGAGGTTATCAATCCTTTTTCCACCCATCCCTTGGCCTTCAGATTTAATGTTCTATCAATGTTCGTATTTTCAGAGGCCAGCTATTAAGGGGATTTTGTCTGTTGTGGGTCAGCCATTTACTCAGGGTTTTCAAAATCAACCACAAGCCAATTTTCAAAGAAGAAATAAGTACTTGAATTACTTATTAAGCTAAACTGCCTGGTTAATCCACATGTGTGCCTGGCCATGTTATTCATCATTTAACTCTTTAACCAAGCCTACCATCCATTCTAAGTGAAATATGGTTTTCCCATAAACCAAGGAAAGGTACCCTGTAAAATATGGGACGGGATGCTGAAGTGGAAAAAATTGTTGTTTAAGTAAGAGAGAATTATATGTATAAACAGGTAGACTTCTATCATACATATCTAACAACTATCTAGTTTAAAGTAGCACTTTACAGAAAAAAAGATTGTCTTCTATTTTTCCCTCTCTTTGGTTTGAAAAATATGCTTTCATGATACATTCAAAGATATTTGAAAGAAAGGTGAATATCTTGTGCTTATTTAGTTAAGAAATGGGTAAAAGTTGAATATCTGCATCATGTTTTTTATTATATATGCATTTCTTTAGAGATCTTAGGAACATTCATATAGGGGGTTGCAAAAAAGAAAGAAGCTTAAGATGCTGTTTTTCAGCCTACTTGTCCTTGTTTCTGGTTTTTCTTTGAAGACATTTCGCTTCTCATCTAAGAAGCTAATTCAGCTATTCAGAGCTCTGGAAAAAGCACCTTTGGGACATAATTGAATGGAACTTTGATAACGAAAGAAGTATCTGCAGGAAGAGTCAAGAAAAACAATATGGCATCTAAAACAATACAATCAAAGACCTTTCTCCTTTTTTACTTGTATTGAATATGCAATAGCAACCATGTTGACTTTCGACACTCCTGTCTGTGAGGAAGTTTGAACTATAAGAACAACTAACTCAAAGTAACCAGCCAATTTCCAATTAACCAATATATATGCAATACAGGGCAGCAGGTTTTTGTTTGCTGGTGAAAATGTGACCCATTGATTTTCTGCTTGTCATGATCCAGCCAGAAGAAAAGAAACTGAAAATGTTAACTTCTTGGAAATTAGTTAAAGGACTTGTAGCATTTTGCATAAACACTGCTCTACATAAATAAATGACAGAATAATTTGCTTTGTGTCTTTCAGTTCCTAATCCCCATGATTGAATGCTCTTAAACAAACTAATGATTTTCATCTGCTAATTTGAAAGCTTTTTGCACACACAAAAAACACTTTGGTGCCTAAACATTGGCATGATTTGGTCCTTCTTAACAGACATAATGATCTAGATCAATCCTTGTCAATTTGGTTTCTCAGAGGGATTCCTAGCAAATCACATATGTGACTACTGGCAATCTATCTCTGGGAGATTTATCTGAACACATCTGTGGATATTTATTTTTCATTACATTTCTACACCACCCAACTTCAAAAGATCAGAGTGGTTTGCAATAGATAAAAACAGCACTACCAGTAGAATATATAACTATGCCAAAACAACAACAACCAAGGAGAAAGCATTGGTTTGGTTGCCAAACTCTGGTCCATGGATGGCACTGGTCCCCAGCATGTCAGCAACCAGGAAAGAAGAAAAGTCCCATCTGTGGGATACAGGCAGCAGGGAACTTTTTTCCATGGAACCAGTCCCTGCTGCTCAAAAGGATGGGGCCCTGCTCTAAAATCCATAATTGCAGTAGAAGTGATGTAATTAATGAAATAATGGATAATGTACAATGCATAATACAATATCATCAATTGATTTTGTGTATGTGTGTGTGTGTGTGTGTGTGTGTATACATACATACATATATACATACATACATACATACATACATACATACATACATACATATCCCTTGTGGGGTGGAGTCAGGGCAACTGAATGGAACTGAGTGTTTTCTGGCCGGATGCCTTTCCTGTCGCAAATGCAGAGTTCGTAACTGATATTTACTTATTGTGCCCAGAAAGAGATATACCTGCCGCTTCCTAGGATCGAACTCACAGCCTCCTGATTGTGAGGTGAGAGCTTCACCTCTAGGCCACTGCACCACTCATAACTGATAATATATGTGTACAATTTAATTAATTAATTAATTACATAATAATTATTAATTAGGATGATTATCCAAATTTATTCCTAAAGAAAGAATCAGAGTAGATTATTATTCACACTGGTAGTAGCTATATTACTATTTCATCTATTAATTGTTGATCTAGAGGTCCTTAAAGTTGTTGCTGGCATTTTAAAATACAAAAACAAAACAAAACAGGTAAAGCAGGATTGATAACCAATCAGGAAGAATAGCTCAGCAAAAGACAAAAACAAAAAAACAAAGCATGGTTGGATGGTTCAGTGCTGAGAGCTGCAGGCTCCATAGTTCCAAATTCCCAAAGGTCAAAATTCTCTAATCTGGCTGCAAACCAAGTTTTCTAACTTTAGTTATAATTTGTAAGCAAGAACATAAAATGGGAGGAGAAATTAATAGGTTATAACGAATCATGACAAGGATGTTGATATATAATAAATCAATGACTTTCCTTAACAAAGACAGATCTATTGAGAAATAAATGCAGACAAGCATATGTTATCACTTAATACCATTAATTTCCCAAGGGCAATATTACTTTTTGCCTGCTTTTCATCAAGATTTTAGTAACACCTGTCAATTGTCAGCCTCTTCCAGTTCTGAACTTTAGCAACTTTCCTACAAATTCTAAATTGCAATATATGTTATCAAGCTGTAGCAGTATTTCTCAACCTTGACAGCTTAAGGATATGTGAATTTCAATTCCCAGAATTTCCTTTTTTCCTTTCCTTTCCTTTTATGCTTTTTAAAGTATAGGTTTCTTTACTGTATAAATATATATTTAATTTACTGTTTTGTTCTGTATTCGAAACACCATGAACTGCTTCGTTGCTACTGAACAGAAAGCTGGATGTAAATATTCAAAAAATAATAAATAAAACATTCACATTAAAAAGCCAATATGTTGCAATACAATCTTCCTTCCTTCCTTCCTTCCTTCCTTCCTTCCTTCCTTCCTTCCTTCCTTCCT